GATCCTGGACCTTTACAGTTCCTTGGACATCTTTGGCGGAACACAAGTCTCGTTTGCCGATCTTGTAGAATATAACAACTCGCGGCAGAACCAGTGAATTCCGACGCCGCACGGACTTGGATTGTACAATAGTTTGGAGGGATAGTGGACAGTTTCTACTCGGTTAGGTCCCATGTTAAGTTGAATTTGCCAACTCTAGACATTGTATTCTTTTCTCCAAAGTGGTTCCAGGGGGTCTTTCACAAGATTGTATGTACGATACTATAGATTTAGCGATGACAAGGATATCCAATTGCACCGACCAATACTAGTACAAGCGTGCAGACGTAAAAATAAACGACAACCGAAAGATACATGCAGCCAAACATCGTGATAAAACATTAGTCGTCCCCAACATTCTCCGAAGCCTGCAAGATGAACAAGCTCGCCTTGGCGCCAGTGGCCACAAACGCAGTAGCAACGTCCCCCACAGTTCGTCGAACCTCGCCGCCAATAGTCTCGGATGCATTGACGGAAGCAATGATACCACGAAGCTCCTCGGTATGAGACTCGGCTGCCATCCTCCGCCCACGACCGGCAACCACAAGCAAAGCCTTGCTGTTCGCCACAGCAGTGTTGTGCTCATCGGCGCACCGTTTCAGGATCCCAGCCAGGGGTGTGGAAGATTCGTCTTCGACAAATGTAATACGAGAAAGTGCGCCTTTGATCGCCGGAGAGTGAGTTTCGGAAGAAGTCATTTGGGCCCAAATTAAGTTATCGGCAGTTTCAGACTGAAGACGAGTCTGAGGGGTGGTTTGAGGATAGATGGTATCAGGTCCCATCTGCCTGGGGGTATTAGAATACCGGATTACCGAGCTGAGAATTAGCACTTACGGAATGAACTGTCATGTTGTTTGCGGCGAGAGCAGCGGCGACTTGCTCGGCCTTTACGTCGCTAAAGCGTGTCTCCAATTCTTCGAGACCATTCGTTTTCTTCATTCGTACAACCGTCGCCGATACTGCCGGGTGCGCGCACAACTGAACCACAAACGCGAGTGCGAGACGGTCATCCGGGCCACCAAAGAATGGCAAGAATATATGCTGGCCGTAAGTAGTGTTGGTTTCCAGAGGCGACAGCCCGCGGTCAATGAAAAGTGCGACGTCCGATGGAGAATCGACAAAGACACGGCGAATAAATTGAGAATAGACCATTGAGGCGCCCTTGTCACCAGCAGCGTAGCGACCACCAAAGATAGCATCAAACGGATTCCGAGGAGTGACTCCGCTGACGTTTTGTGAGGTCTCTTCAATGGCCGAAGGAGCCGCGTTCCATGGAATGACTACAAGGTCAGAGTCGGTGTCACGAGCATGGGAGACGACACTCGAGCTGAACGAGTCCTGAGGAACGATAGATAGTGCCGAGGAGACTGGAATTCGGTTAAGGTGCCCAAAGGTGCGCATAACGCTGATGAGAGTATCACGGTGCATCAACTCTTCAGCAGCACTAACCCTCATAACTGCGGAAGT